CCCGTTTAGCAGAACTGAGCATCGTTGAAAATATGCTTACCATATATCTGCTCAGACATAGAGAGAGAGAGAGAGAGAGAGAGAGAGGTGCTTCTCAGTACGGAATATTTAGTAAAAATATCTTTCAAGTAGAATGTGATTCATATCTACATACTTAGTCTAGGAAAGCTTTTGAAAGAAGGCGAATTTAAGAGTAAAGCTTGAAATTGTGCAGATATGTTCATCTTTGAAGACTATCTGAGTGCCTTTTCAGACTAGTGAGCTACTATTAAAATTGCGTATTATGCCTATCCTATGAATGATAACTGCATATTCAATTACCATGATTACATAGACCAAGTATGAAAGCAAATGACCTTGTTCTTTTTTTTTGACTAAATACCTTATTCTATTCATATATCATTGTCAATACCTGGAAATTGCCCTTGAATTGAAGGCGCATTATGGAATGTAAATGAGAAAGAATGCCCTATAAATGCAACTGAGCTCTCCGTTTTATCGTATTTATGGATGTACTTTTCGGAAAACACAACTGATAATAAAAATTTTGGGAGGTTCCGCGAAATGGTTTCCTGGTTTCCAGATATGATTCAACGATTAAATAGGGGGATTAACTTTAACCGAAAAATGATCTATTTTATTATTCTTTGAATATTTTGCAGAAATCACGTAATGATAACAAACATAGTCTAAAGTAAACAGTCAACATATCTTGACAAAAGTAAAAACGATAAGATAATAGGACGGAAGTGGTATCTTTAAAAATAGCTTTATCAAAATTTACGGTGTTTGTGTATGATGGAAGCTTATTTTGCAATTAGATAAAGTACTTTGAAGCTAGGTAATCCCTTCGAACAAAACAACTATACAAAACATAATGCAAAACTTTCCAAGCTTTAGAAGCAATAGGCCAGGAAAGATTTTATCGCACTATCGGAGGATTTACCAGTGCAGCACGGAATGCAAATAAGCAATGGAATCAATATTTACCATGAACACGCACACTATTGTAATTAGTACAATTTTACGCTGGGTTACACAATCAAAAATCTGTAACGAATTTCAGTCATGATAGCAAAACTTTTCCGAAATTCAATCTGAATAAGTACATGGAATCGATGTAAAATTAATTATCAGAATATTTTTAGAAACCTTTTGATAAAAGATCCGAATTTCATGCGTTGGAAATAGGTATCTGACACTCAATAATATTTCGGTATTTTCTCTGAAACTTCATATTAATTTTTCAAACGGATTCCATTCGATATCTTACATTACACATTTCACAATGCATTTTAAAAATGATGGTCTGATAATTTCTTAGTCTCTTTTTTTTGTTTATCTTCGATTCAATGCAGTCAGGCAATTCTTTTCTTTTTTACTTATAAAAGAAATGTTAACTTTGTGAAGCTCACAATATAGGACACCTTTAATTAGGTCAAGAATACAATGTTAAAGGATTTACGAAAGGCAAATATTAATAGCAGTTTCAACAATGTTCCTTACTCAAGATCTTGAAAAGATAAGAAATTGGTCCAAAGCTTGGGCTGTAGATTTTGATAGTGAAAAAAAACTGTTAATGTTGATTTTACTAGAAAACACATAAGTTATCCTAATACAATGTATTCAGTTTGGATATGGAGGTGATTATATAAAACAATCAAATACTCATGTTCATTTAGGATTACAATTTCAAGCAGATGGTTCTTGGAATAATCATATATTAAGTATATATGAAAAGGCATGTAAAAGATTGAATATTATTAGGTTACTGAAACATAGTGTAGATAGAAATTCACTAATAAAAATTTATTTTGCCTTTATAAGACCAATTTTAGAGTATGCTGATGCTGTATGGGACAATTGTACCCAAAGTAGTTTAGAATTGTTTGAAAAAGTTCAGATAGAAGCTGCCAGAATTATTACTGGGCTTAGAATTAATTCATCCAGAACTTGTTTGTATGGTGAACTAGGGTGGGAACCATTATATCTTAGAAGAGAAAAACACAAACTTCAATTGATGTATAAAATGATTAATGGTTCTGCGCCTGATTATTTGTATGATTTGATTCAACCTTGTTTTCCTGTTCAACATGCATACAACCTAAGGTCTGGATGTAATAACTTCGCCTCGCCCAATACGGATTTCCATTTCACACCCTGTATGAATCCGTATTAGGTCACTAACTGACTGTGTAACTAATATTATCCCGCTTCAGACAAATTTGTCGATTACTGATTGGATAAAAGCTAATCACATGACGCCCCGAAATTTTCCGTATTACGTCTCCGTTTCCATATTACGTCTCCGTCGAGGCGTAATATGAAAATCGGGCACGCGATTCCGTTCGAAGCGTTGTTATTGTAAGTAAAAATGGCGGCTAAGAAACGGTTAACGTAGGTAGTTTAGTTAAATTTCTTGTTACCGTAACGATATTTTATGTTGATTGTTATTGGATAAAACCTAATATTTTCCTAATATGCACAAATATTTTTTTTATATTGAAAAAGGTCTTCAGCGGGATAAATTCGTTACACAGTCAGTTAGTGACCTAATACGGATTCATACAGGGTGTAAAATGGAAATCCGTATTGGGACTCGGCTTCGCCTCGCCCAATACGGATTTCCATTTCACACCCTGTATGAATCCGTATTAGGTCACTAACTGACTGTGTAACTAATAATGTATACCAGTTTGTAAAACAATGTCATACTATAATAGTTTTATTCCCTCAACCATAAAACTTTGGAACAGTCTTAGTGAAGATGTAAAAAACTCTCCTTCGTTACCTATCTTTAAAGCAAAGCTTAAAAATTGGGGAGCAACTAATAAAACTTGTAAGTACTTTAACTTTGGTAATAGAAAAGAAAATATCTTGCATTGTCAGTTGCGAAACAATGCTAGTAATCTTAATGCACATTTAAAAATCATTTTTTTAAATCAGATATTCAATCATGTCAAAAGTGTGGATTTCATACTGAAGATACTGAACATTATTTTATCAACTGCCCATCATATAATGTTGAAAGAAACTTATTGGTAAAAAAATTAAATGATATTGGTGTTGTTTTTGAACTCGACACTCTCTTAAGAGGAAAATGTCAATACTCTTATCAAACAAATTGTAAAATATTTTCATAATTATGTACAAGAATTTATTAAATCTTCTAAGAGACTAAATTAGGGACACTGTTATATTAAATACTCTATTAAACGCATAATTTTTTTCCAAATATTTGTATTATTTTTTAGCTGGAACAGTATGTAAATAATATGTATACAGTTAGGGGGTTGTCATCTTTCTAAAATATAATATTGATAAATAATACTTGATCACATGTTGATTATCATGTTCATGTATTATTACTTACCATTGTATCTTGACTGATTATACAAGGAGAAGGTGTACATAAACCTTGCCTGTTGCCCAGTCCTTATTGAACTATTCAATAAAATATGTTTAAAGTAATAGCAGTTCTTCTCAACTACTCGACTACAATTTTTTCTCGGATTTAATTTTGCTGCCTAGTATTGACAAGAAGACTGTATTGTCATGAATCTGTCGATTTTATAATTATTCCACATAAAACAATTGGATTGAAGGCATTTTAATGAACTTCAAAAAAAGTTTCGATGTAAAAACATTCATGAAGAGTTTGAGATATTCTTACAAAAGGCATATGTAACTTTACATTAAAAGTATAGTTTGCTAAATCTTTAATCAATAACTATTATCATATTTGTTAAACTTTTACCCTGGAAACCGGTCACGGTAGCCTAGTGGTAGAGCGTTCTTTTTGTGACCGGGAGGCCCGGGTTCGCGTTCGCGGCGCCGCGTTAAACCTAAGACGTAAACATAGGTAGTGAATGTTCCTTCGCTTAACACTCGGCATTAGAAGTGTAATCACGGGTCTTTCGGATTTGTCCTAAAATATGTAGGTCCCGTGTCGCGGTAGGCGTTGGCACGTTAAAGAACCCTCACTGCTGAATGGCCCTGAGTGTCGAATATAGGTCTAAATTTGAAGCCCATCACCGGCATGCGGTGACGTCTCCATATGAGTGGAAAATTCTCGAGAGGGACGTTAAACAACATAAAATCAATGAATGAATCAATCTACCCTAGAAGATCACGAGTAACAAAGATATTACACTAATAACCAACACTGGGTGAAAAAAGTAGTTTCCCATCATGGGGAAACTTTATGGAAACCACATGGAAACCTCAAGTTTACATCATGTTTCCCAGTGGTTTCCACAGCGGATGCCAGGTTATTCTGCCAAGTTTCCGTGACACGGAAACCCCCTACGCTCCGATTCCATAAGGTATCCCGAACCACGGAAACCTCTGTAAACCTGAAGTTTCCCGAACATCCATGTAGTTTCCCGTAATGGGAAACCTAAAGATTCCACTGGTTTCCAGAATCAGGAAACTTGATGGAATCGGAGCGTAGGGGGTTTCCGTGGAATGGAAACTTGGTGGAATCTTAAGGTTTCCTTTTTAAGGAAACTACATGGAAGCTTGGGAAACCTCATGATTCCTAAAGTTTCCGTGACTCAGGAAACCACAGGGAATCGGAGTTTAGTGGTTTCCGTGGAATGGAAACTTGATGGAATCTTAAGGTTTCCTATTACGGGAAACTACATGGAACCTCGTGAAACCTTACGATTCCTAAAGTTTCCTTGACTCAGGAAACTATATGGAAATTGTGTAGCAGTTTCTGTGTGGCGGAAACTTGGTGGAATTATCTGGAGTCCCATTCCTGGTTGAAGTTACTGGGAAACTTCAAGATTCCCCAACTTTTCTTAAGGAAGCGATGTGAAATTATGTGTATTCTTTCAAAAATCTATCAAAAAAATTATTAAATGTAAGAGAAAAAAAACATTACCATTTTATATGTTTAATAATTCATTTGATGTACAGAAACTGTAACAGTATTTTTCAATGATATCAAAATACTAAATAAATTCATATATCTTAGATAAACAATGGAACAGTCTTTCACGTTTAAGTCCATTCATAAGCGTCATTAAGTACTTCTTTCAACATCAGTTCCCTGGTATTTCCTTCACATCACCTATGATCTGCAATATTCATACAAAATTTTCATATGATGTGTCAGAATTATAATGCTTGAATATAACTTAGAAATCTGAAAGATCAGTCAATGTTCTTTAATATACCAATATCAATAATTACTTTCCATGACCATGATACATATGATTTCAGCATTTAATGTGTCTCTTTAAAATTTAATGCTTTATGATAAGGAAAATTTTTTTACATAATATAAATAATGTTTTCAGCCTCATTATGTCAGTGAGAATATATTACAATTCCATAGAACCCTGCTTTAAGTTGAATTAGTTTGAGAGAAAATATACTCTTTATAATAACAAAAATATTAATAGAGAGAGAATTTTTTTTAATTTTTGATATTTGACCTAAAAAATTGGTTGAAGATCATTGCAGACCCTCCACACCAATTGCATAAAAGCTAGATTACACCAAGGGAGAAATATACTCTGGACTACGACTTTGAATAAAGATACACAGTACATTTTGATACTGACCTTTGACCTAGAAAATTAGTCCAAGGTCACTCTTCATCCTCTATCCACAGGCTCTCTGTAGTTTAAGTTTGAGAGAGAAATATGCTCAGAACAAGTGATATCAGATGGCGTGATGGGTAGACACACTGTCTAAGGGCATCCACAGAACAGGTCTCTAAAAACAATGCAATATATATGTATTACAGTATGGATATACATGTACTTGTATGTTAATGATTTATCATATGCTGCATTGGACACATATGCTTTTATCATGGTGTAAGTATACATGTATCTTATGAGTAATTTTATGCCAGTATTGCATGTACACTCGGTTTATAAACAAGTAATTTAAATTTTTTTTTTTACAAAAATTGACCAACATAATTTACATCCACTCATCATGTTCATGAATTGGTGGATCAAAATTCAGTCAGTTTTATAGATCTCTATGATATACCATAGACAACTTTCACATTTACAAAAGTTATTCCCCTTTGCAGGGTCAATCTGGGGTCAATCGGCTGAAGACGCTGTTTTCCCTCTATATAACCGTACCAACTTTGAGGGTCAATATCTTGGAAGTGAAATCTGTATGAACATGTTCATTATGATTTTCATGTTACCCCATACTCTGGCCATACAGATACAGATCGTAATTGTCCAATATCGTTTGAAGATTGAAAAAATACAAGTAACTTACAAAGGACAAAGTGAGAAAAATGAGCGATACACCGACAATTGGAGACAACTCTTAGCAATGTGAAATTTGTCTATTGGTGATGACAATTCCTTTTTTAATGTCACTGAAAAATTAAGAGACATTAAAAATTTAAGCCCTATTGTCATGCATGCATGCTGTTTTTTTAAGTATTTTCAACCAAACTATAAATTACAATTGCTTGTAATTGAAAGATGGATCCATTACACATTGCACCCCATTACTTTGAAAAAATGTAATGATTACAATGCATTACCATTACACATTACCATTACCCCAGGTCTGTTTTCAACCACATAACCTTTTACTATCATAAAATTTACCAAACTTTAATACTTCAAATAATTTCATTGAATACATGTATCTAAAAAATTGAGAAAACTCTAAAAACTTAGTGTCAGACTTACAGAAATTTATCTTTGGAGAGAAAAAAATCAATCATATAAAGATGTGCATAATGAGCCTTTTTTATTCATTTAGAACATATCGTATGTGCATCATTTCCCCAAGAAATTTTCAAAGACAATGGACTATTTGTGAGCAGAAATCATTGCTGTTTACTTAATACATTTGGAAAATTTATGAAAATAATCAAATAATTTCTTTATTTTTGATTTTAGATAATGCTAAAAATAATTTAATCTCTTACTAGTAATCCAACTGACTGTAAAATAAATTTTTTCTTAATCTCAATCTAAGGGCAGATCACTCAACTGCATAAAACTACCCAATATCAAAGTAGAGCTCTTTAGTGTACAGTTTTTAGAGCTTCCTTAAAGTCATCAAAATACTGACCAGCAAGAAATCAGTTAATAACATTTCCTCTTTTTCATTCAAATTTTTTGAGAGATCTCAAAGTTTTTTCCTCTTCAATTCAGGTTCGAGATGACAAAGTTTTACTGTAGTGTATGTATTAGAGAACTGATTGTATGTCAATCACAACAATACATACATAACATGGAGGGGGGCAAATTGTTTCAGCCCTAGCTTTTACATAAAACTTCTTGTAGCTCACAGTTGATAAACCACAGCTCAGTATTTAAAATTTAGAATCATTTTTTTTTTTCAGGCAATTGTTATACATACCAATCATGATTTAATTACACTGTACCACTTACCAAATGACCACATCCTGAATCATCATACATTTTATATGATTTTGTCTCACTGGTTTTCTTTTAAAGTCATGCAGTTTTCTTCTCTCTGAAATGATAAATTATGTTAAGGTACTATCATGACTATTGCATTCTAATTTAAACTAATTATGTAATAGCATTAGCAACAACAGGGACGGGCAAAAAAAAACAAAACAAGATGCGCTTGTAAAACACTATGTGCCCGGCGGCAACAAAGTTTCGAAAAAGCAATTTTTTTAGCATATAGGTCACAGTCAAGATCACATAATCATTGTCCTTGTTGTCACGTGAAAGCACTTCATAAGTGGAGTATGCATACTAAATATGATGTCACTATCTCATATAGTTCTAAAGTTATGGTGAAGGTTTAAGTTGACAACAGACAGACACTGAGATAAACAGTTATGGCAAAAGTTCGAAAAAGCTATTTTAACATATAATTACAGTCAAAGTCACAAGGTCATTGACCTTGTTGCATTTCAAAGAACTTAATTATTGTAGTATGCATACCAAATATGAAGTCTCTATCTCTCACAGTTCAAAAGTCATGGCAATGGTTCAAGTTGACAACAGACAGAAAGGACAAAATCAATATACGTGCCGAATCTATCAATTCTAGCGTATAAAAATTTCAAACAAATGAGCATCAACTAGTTTGTACCATTCTACTTCTCCTATGTCAGGACAACCATCACTAATTCACTATTTCATACAAGTCTTTTTTTCAAAATATTTAATCTAATGCAATAGCTCACCAGCAGAATATGATATTGTGCTCGACTCATTGTTTGCCTGCACCACAGTTATGTAGAATGTGGTGTATGTTATAAACTTATAATTATATTCAGATATAAGAAGCATGTTATTTTTTATGACAGCTAAGTCTGTTCAGTTAGACAATACCATGTACACTGTACATGTATGTAAGTAGTTTAATTGTGCTTGATTATTTACTTATTTTCTTCTCAACTTAAAGCTGAACACAACTCGTAAATAGGCATACACCATTTTCGATAGCATTATCTACAATACATCAATACTAGGGTATACTCGTTGCAATCGTTACACCTGACTGCTTTATTGTCATGGGTATTGGCGTGGAATAGCAACCCGTGATCGTGCTGGTTATCTTGCATTACCTTTTCTTACATTTTATTGCAGTTACGTTTATCTGTGTTTTTTGTATATTTTACTGACTTATAAAACTATAATTGTTATAAACTTATTTGGTATCTTATTTTCCTGCATTAGATGAAGTACTACGTTATTACTCTCGCTACCGAGTTCTTCTGTATAGCATACGTCCATCTTCACCAGTGTAGACTGATTACACTGAACAGTGACCAACTGCTGCCCTATTTATAGCGGTCTGCAGAGAAGATAGACTCGGGAACAAAAATGGCGGACAGATTCCTTTTACGAATCGTATTCAGCTTTAAAGTGTTCTGTATTTTATTACCAAGTTTGTAATAAGCATTTTGAAACATACTATCAATATTAATTCAATATGAAGGCTTAATTTTCTTTTTTTACATCTTCATCTCAGCAGGTTAGTCAGTACAAAAAAATCTTTTGAGCAGTAAACTATTTCAATAAACAAACCTATTCTCTTCAGAGAAGTGGACCGTAAGGCTTCCACCTACATTCGCTTTTTTATGTATATTTTCCCTCCATATCATCATCATGCATATGATTAAGGGTTATGCTACAGTATTGGCTACAATCTATTCCAACTGTTCTGAATGATGATATCCTTCATGATAATCGGATAAGCTGAGATTGAAGACACTTTTTGTAAAAATATTGATGCTTTTATCAAGGTTTTGAACCAAAAGTATTTTATTCATACCTTGCCATAAGTCATAAGTTCCGAAAATCAAAAGAGTTGGCTATCTGAAAACGGAAAGTCAGAAGAATTCAAACCGGATGTACTACAGTCTGAATTTAACTACGAAACCATGCTCGGTATAACTATTATCATCCGGATAATATTTGAGCGGGGTTAAAAATATATTTTTGTGTAAATCCGAAAAGTATTCATTTACAGAGGCGTAGTCACAAACTTAAAAGTGAGGGGGCTCAAGTTCAGAAATTCTTTGACAAGCAAAAAAAAAAAACAAAACAAAAAAAAAAAAAAAAAAAAAAAAAACAAAAACAAACAACTTAAAAGTGAGGGGGCTCAAGTCCAGAAATTCTTTGACAAGCAAAAAAAAAAAAAAAAAAAAAAATGTGAAAGTTCCCCAAACTCCAAAATCCTATTAAAATGAGGTTTAATATTATTTCAAAATAGCTGTGATTTTGTTCTTCATTAAAAAGTGGGGGGGGGGGGCACAGACATACTCTTGCCCCCCAGATCTGAAAGTGGGGGCGCTAGTGCCCCCGCTGCCCCCCCCCCTGTGACTACGCCTATGATTTATATTCAGAGAGAGAACATACATACTGAGCATACATTTTAATAAACATGGTGAAAGGCGAAACGTTGCCATTTTACAACATACAGCATGGAACACATAATTATGCATGCACGGTGCCTTGGGGCCTCAAAAATCTATTTAAGTTATGTTGCATGTTGTATCACTGTCTCAAATATCTCTCTCTCTCTCTCTCTCTCTTTTGCAATATATGCACCTAACAATTTAAAACTTAGATATCCAACTTTTTAAAATGGCGTCAGAACAAAAGTTGCCTCCGATAGTGAAGATTTGTTGTTGCCAAATAATACAATTATTTGCCGTAAAAAGTTAACAAAAATATACGTACATTAATCCTTGGTCGTTGGTCATTGCATTTATCACAGTCTTAAAGACACTGGGTGGTGAAAACATCAACTTTTCACATTTACGAGCTGCTTACACATTCTTCTTCGTCCTTCTCGATCCTCCAAAAATGGCGCCTCGGGAAATTGACCAATGAAATAAAGCGCCTGCAGAGCGATGCACGATGGGAAAATAAACTGTTTACATTCACTATGATTATGTGTGATTATGAGATATTATATTAGAATTTAGAAGTTTTCCCCTGTTCATGGAATAAAAAAGGGGCTAGCTCCTATTAAAATATTTTTTGTCGATATGATGTGTAGGCCTAGTATATTTAGATAAAAAGCGGTTAAATACGTGAGAGCAGAGAAAAATTATGTTTCTTGCGTGACACCTCTACTTATTTGCCTTCAAAATGAGGGTTTTCGGGGCTTGGTTGTTGGTAGTGGCCGTCCTAGCTGAAAGTACCCCCCCTTCCCCCCTCCCCGCTACTTTTAACTGTTATAATTATGAATTTATAATGTCACATCAAAAGATGTTAAACCTTTAAAAGTACATTTTTTTTAATTGCGAACGTTCCACAGTAATCCTTAAAGGCATGAAAATGAGTTACAATTATAATACATGTATAATTAACAATAACCGTCCTTATTTTTTTTTTTTCAATAGTGATGATTGAAAAGTTCGGTGTTTAATAATTGATTGCTTATAATTTTTGGGGGGATTAAAATACTACTAGAACTCCCTCCTTTTCTGGTTTAAATTAGATTTTGAGCCTGCTATCAATATACTGTATTATTACTGGTGGACCCTCTAGACGTTTCTCTATTTGCTACATGTAGGCCTAAATTGTACTTGAAACTTCTTTGCCTTTAGCTAATAACTTTCCCACATCATTTTAACACGTAAAATTGTTAAATGAATTAGGATGTTGAAAATCTTTTTCTTAGGAGCGTTACATGTATCTCAAGATGGAATAAAACTGATATCTAATCAAAGGCAAGAAAATATAATAGTATTTTGATTCAGTATTTAGTCGTGATGGGTATAAGTGAAGTCATGGGAAAAATTATGTCAAAAGTCATCTAGATACTCGTTGATGTACAAGGCTGTTCTTATGCATATATACAGCTTTAGCTGGTCCCGCCCTGTATTTCTTTAATGTTTTTTTTTTTCGTTAAGAAATCTGGTAAGGTATGCTAGTAAAAAAAAAAATCCCGGTAAGTTTATTACCCTGACGGAAATTACTTTCCTACGGGCCTGAAGTTCGAGTCTATTAGTCAAATTTAAGAATGTCACGCATCTTTTTTAAAAAGAGTAGCATGTTGGGGAATAAAAATAAAGTAATGTAAAATTTAGATAAAGAAAATTAATGTTTGTTGAAGTATTGACAAACTCCATACCTTTATATAATGAAATCAACAAAAACTGCACAAAAATACAATCGTGACAATTATACAATTAATTCTTTTAATAGATTGCCTCAAGTTAGCATCCACTACTTTAAAAGCCGTTGTTCTTCAGGAAAACAAAATGATGTAAAATATTATAGACTTTTCTTTATCTAGAGAAATGGCCTTTGGAGAAAAGAATGGCTGAAATTTTTTAAGTTTGTTAAATATATGTGCATGATCATATGTGCATTTAGGACCGTACATTGTAATTTTATGCGAAAAGTGCAGACGTTTACTACACGGGGATCTGCGTACATATAAACAAAAAAGGAAAAAAAAAGTTTTATGTAATGAATATCATAACATTATTTAATAAATGCCTTTGTATAGTACGTTGGATTACAAATTTCACACAAAAACTCATCAAGACTATTAAATACAGTGTTGATTTCACATTGATCTATTAAGTAATTCTGATTTAATATAATTATACACGACGAGAATTTAGATCTAATCAATACCTATAGAAAATTATTTAATTTCTAAAGAGCATAGTTTTTTTTCAAATCAGTAATGAAAATTGAAATAAAAATTCTAAATAGTTCGTTCTTTCATTGAACATCTTAAAATAAATGTATGTTATTATATAAATATGTTCTCTTGTATAACTTTATTTATGAAATATACAATTTTTTAATTGATAAAAAAAACACAAATCGTCATCTTAATTCAAACGAATTTTCGGTCGGAGGCTGTGTGTGTACATGCTCGACAACAGCCCATTGTTCCCTTTAGGTAGAAAACCCTCTCAATTCACATAGAATATACAAAGAATACACAGTGACAGGTGTCTTCGCGGCACGTGTCTCCAC